CCTGGGGGTGCGCTGCGGCCCGGCGCCGTCTGCTGGGCCAGAGCGGGCTTCTGGGTTTCAACCCTGAGGACAGGCGGGCGCAAGGCGGTCAGGTTCCCTTGAACCCTCTGTTCGGCCAGCAGGACTGTAAGGCTTTTGCTCAACGGGTTTTAAGCATTTGAAGGAAGTAGTAATGGCCTCCCTCTTGTGTCAACTTCTTCGTGAAATGGGCTGGGTCTCCTCAGTATCAACCTTTAGTCTGCATTCCCGGAACACTATTCCCACCTGCTGGTTGGCCTCTCATGAGGCTGTAAGCACCAGAGGACAGGGACTGTAATCCGTGTTGTCTTCCCTTCAGCTTTCTTTATTGTAGTAAAATACACGTAACAACATTTACCGTGTTAACTGAGTTCTGGCTAAGAGAAGAATTCAGAGCCAAGACTCAAATTATAAGAGAAAGTTTTTATTCGGAAAGTCACAGAGGTAGAAACAGTGAGCCATAGAAGAAATGGGCTCAAAAAACAAGTTACAGCAAAAGAAGGGCCCCTGGAGCTTAAGGGAAAGAGACAGAAAAAGTGCCTTGGAGGAAAAGGGTGGGGAAAGACAGGCTTTCAGGTGTGTGTGTGTGTGTGTGTGTGTGTGTGTGTGAGAGAGAGAGAGAGAGAGAGAAGAAAATACCCTGAATCGGGGGGAATCTCAGTGGAATATTCATCAGCTTTCCAGGTGGTCCCCACTGATCTGTTGGCGCCAGGGCAGGGTCATTTGTCAGTGCAGCTGGTCCTGATGTCAGCCATGGCTGCATGAGGCCTACATGTATTTGATGTGGGCCAAAGCCTCATTGTCCTGGGGGCTTAATGCTTAAGGGCTACTCTTCGTCCCCCTTGTTCTTTCCCACTCTGAGGGTGGGGGTCTAGCTCACATGACTAGCAATATGCCAGAGGAGGAAAGGTCCGGGGAGGGTCCCAGCCCCAGGACCAGCGATATGAAAGGTCAGGGGGCCTAGACCGCATGACCAGTGATATGCTAGGGGAGGAAAGGTCACCCTGGGAGCTAGGTACCAGCCCAGTTTTGCCCTGGGGCTTTTCACCCTGGTGACCTTCTGTACCTGGCCTATCATCCTTGCTCTGCTCATGGCTGTCTAACTGCTTACTACATTAACCATGTTTACGTGTAATATTCAGCTGTATTAAGTACACTGAGTGGCCAGATTATTATGACCACCTGACATTTGTAGTCAAATTAGCTATAATTTTGCGCTGAAGTTGCTAGAGGGCCAGACCATTATAAACGTCTGAATAGCACAACATACCTAAGTATCTTTGCTGATCAAGTTCATCCTATCATGTTGATGGCGTATCCCAATGGAGATGGCTTCTTCCAACAAGACAATGCACCATGCCACGGTGCTCGTATTGTGCAGGAGTGGTCTCAAGAACATGAGGGAGACTTTACCTTGCTTAGGTGGCCCCCACAATCACCAGATCTCAATCCAATTGAGCATTTGTGGGACAAGGTTAAAAGAGCCATCAGGCAGCTGGTTCCACAACCATCAAATCTCACAGAACTGGACAGTGCTATTCATCAGGCATGGTGTCAGATTCCTCACATCACCTTTCAACATCTCTCAATGCCAAGAAGAATCACCGCAGTATTGGAGGCAAAAGTTGGCCCAACGAAGTACTGATGGTGTGGTCATAATAATCTGGCCACTCAGTGTATATTCATATTAGAGGCCCGAAAATTCATGCACTGGCGGGGGGTCCCTCAGCCTGGCCTGCCCCCTCTCACTATCCCCATGGGGAGCGGGCCTAAGCCACAGTCTGGCCTCCCTCTGCAGGAGGCAACCAGGTTGATCAGGCGAAGGCGCCACCCCCATCACCCCGCTGATGCTGCCACTGCTGGCCGAGATGGCTGCGAGGCCTAAGCCCCTGGGCCTCGCAGCTGCCTGAGCCCACAGCTGCCTGAGCCCACGGCTGCCTGAGCCCCAGGCCTCCCAGCCACTGTGGCTTTGTCCGGATGGATGTCCATCCTAATTAGCATATTACCCTTTTATTAGTATAGGTTGTTGTGCTACCATCACCACCATTCATCTCCAGAACTTTTTTTATCTTGTAAAACTGAAACTCTGTACCCACTAAACAACAACTTCCCTTTCCCTCTTTCTGAAGCTCTTGGAAACCTCTACTTTCTGTCTCTGAATTTGACTACTCTAACCTCATAAGTGATATCATGCAGTCTTTGTCCTTTCATGACTTCACTTAGCATAATATCCTTAGGTTCACCCACATTGTAACATATATCAGAATTTCCTTCCTTTTTAAGGCTGATAATATTTTATTGTATGTATAGACCACATTTTGTTTATCCATTCATCTGTCAGTGGAGCTTGGGTTGCTTCCACACTTTCATAATCCATTTTTATAATCATATGTTTCCTACAAAATATGTTGCTCATTGTTCAAGATGACTGTTGAACTGAATCAGTATAGTACGTAAGTGGTAGTTAATGAAATTAGTTAAAAGAATTGCTGTAGCACATATTTGAAATCAGAACTGGGTGTCAAAGCCAAAAGTGTAGCTTAGCCCACTTTTCTGGGGAAGAACAATGTAGAGCGAACTTTACCTACCAGGGAAACCCAAAGTTATAACAGTATTGGGAATGGGAGTTATGTTAGTTATAAAAGATGCAGTTATAAAAGATGAGATGGAGAGATGCTAGCTACAGACATCTGGGAATGAGGTAGGAGTACCCATGTCCCCCTCATTACAGCATCCTGTCCTCTGGTCTGTTCTCCTCACTCAGAGTTGAGGATTCCCTTGGGCCTCATGCTAAATAAATTTATTAATAGCAACTGCTGTTCAACCAAGAATGCTGATTTATTTACTTATGATGAATATGATTTTATTCATAGAGAAACCTATACAGAAAGCCCAATTATCACCAGTATGTTGCTTGATAAACTTGGATCAGAACAAATGAAGATAAATAAAAAAATTAACTAATGCAATCATCAGGATTTGCATCTCCATAGTGTAGGGATGTTTGTGTTAAAGAGATTGGAATATTTGTATTCATAAGTCAGGGTGTCTTTCCCCTTAGACAATGAAAAAGACTAATGGACACCTTTTTTTTTCAACCATCTCCCACTTCTGTGCCTAACATTTTCTATCAATACAGTCAGTTGCAGGCAATGGAATAAATTAGATTTAAGTTTTCTTAATTACAGTTGTCTTCTAAACATGCCTCCCATTTGCTCTAGTCTAGTGGTCACCAACCGGTGTTCTGTGGACCACTGGTGGTCCGTGAGGTCCGATAGGTTGGCGACCGCTGGTTTAAGGAAACTGTCTAGTCAGTATCTTATGTTAGGTTTCCAAGGAGCTAAACTCCCACTGTCTCTGTGGGGTTTGTTTACTCAACTCTCACAGGTTCATCTTGGGCCATGATTCTGGCAGGTGGCGGGGTGCATGTGTATTGGTGGGGGCTCATATTAGTGTAGCTGCACCATGAAAAATTCTGTGAGGATTCTAATCAGTTTAAAATGACCAATTATAGCCAGGTCAGCATGGTTCAGTGGTTGAGCATTGACCTATGAACCAGGAGGTCACAGTCAGGGCACATGCCCAGGTTGTGGGCTTGATTCCCAGTAGGGGGCGTGCAGGAGGCAGCCGATCAGTGGTTCTCTCTCATCACTGATGTTTCTATCTCTCTCTCTCCCTTCCTCTCTGAAAGAAATAAAATATATATTAAAAAAAAGACCAATTATAGGTTCTACTTTACATACATTGGGGATCAATGTATGACACTACTAGTATATGTGTGTTGTGAAATCCAGACCTCCTCAAATTTATTGCGAATTCTTATGTACATTGAACATGGTCTATAGACTGATAAGTAATAGCATATCCTACAGATATGTTATTTTGAAAACAGTGTAGTTCAGGTGTGATAAAAAATATGAATTATTTATAACATAATAAACAAATATAAATATTTTATAGTTATTGTAATAACTGAATTCCTGGTAAGTTTAAGTGTAAATTATTTCTTGAATCTATAGATTCAAAAGAATAAGTACTACCTTCTTGTGAATTTTACAAATTTAACCTGCTAGGCACTGTTCTAAACACTTATAAAAATGAACTCATTTAACTTTCATAACACTCTCAGAGGTAAGTTTTGTTATTATTTTTAAACTAGAGGCCCAGTGCATGAATTCGTGCACAGGTGGGGTCCCTTGGGGTGGTCTGTGGGGATCAGGCCGAAACTAGTAGTTCAATACCGCCTGCTGCTCCTGCTTGCCACTTCCGCTCATCCCGGCCCCGCTGCACCTGCCTCGGGCTCATGCCCAGTCAGTCCCGATCAGGTGAGGCTCATGCTGCCACAGCGGGGCTCACCAACCATGAGCCCTGAATCTGGCGCCCATCCTGAGGGGGGTGGGGGGGTGGGATGCTATCGGCCCTCCTGGTGGGCAG